GAAGCTGTAGCGGTCCATCTTTGCCCGTCCTCTGTTGGACGGCAAGCTATGATGGCGTTACCTTCTAAAGCTTGCCAAACTATTTCAGTCATTCACTCCTGCGCTTATTCCGCCGTTGGACAGGCTGTGTCTGCATTACATTCAATGGCCATACTGCAGAAACTCTTGGCCGACCTTCTCTGAAAACTGGATGAGGAAAGAACAGAAGCTATCAGCATGCTGGATCTAAGGAGTGCTAACACCTGGCTCTTCGCACTGAAAAATCCGCTGCACAGGCCATTGGGCCACTTGGCTTCTCTCACCGTCGCTGAGAGACACCTTTGGCTGACGTTATCTGAGATGTCGGACTCAGAGTCCGAGTCTGAGATGTTCCTTGACGCACCCATCTCCTCAGCTGGCCTCTTTGTTCCTCCGTCAAAGATTTCGCGGATAGATTCGCAGAGGTTCAGAAGACATCACAGGCTATGAAGCACTTCTTACCAAAGTGCTCTAGCTCCACAGCAGGTCGCTCAAAACAGTTGTCTGCTCGAAGCTCTCAGCCACAGCTTGACAGCGTCGTCATGCCCGGGACCAGAGACCTTGCTATGCTGGCCGCCACACCCAAGTTTTCATTTCTACACACAAACACAGCCCGCCACAATACAGGACTCTCACAAATTAAAATCAACTCATGTCAATTGTGCAATAAATGTAGTGAATGGGCGCACAACCCATTGCCCACAAACACTACACACTTTCATGTCCCACGGTTTCTGTAGGAGCTATATAAATAAAGGGACTTTCCTTGTCTGCCCTGCCGGTTTACAACGAGGAAAATGACGCAAGCTTCCTTTGCCCAGTCAGAGCATTAAGAGCTTATGTGTCTCGCTCGTCTGTTTTCAGACAGACTGAGCAGCTCTTCGTTTCATTCAGAGGATGTGCTAAGGGAGTAGCCGCATTGAAACAGAGCCTATCCAGATGGATAATTGATAGCCATAGCGCTGACGTACACGACAAAAGGCTTGAGGAGTCCTTTAGGTGTTAGAGCGCACTCCAAAAGAGGCATGGCCTTGTCCGCTTGGTCTAGCTGTCCACATTTATAAGTTTTTATAACCTAGAGGTTCCCGCCTTACAGGTTAAACTGTTTTCGGTCTAAAAATCAGTATTGTCTGCCCTGTTTCATCGGCTCAGAATACTACAACCGCTTGAGCACCGCTCGCTGATCGATAAAATTACTCGATGGGCAAAATTTAAGACCCATACTGTTACACAGTTCAGGCCGAACATTTTCACCCTGATTGTGTGGAACAATTAATATGGCAGTAAAAATTGATGTTAATATAGCCATGTTTCGAATGAAAAATACCTTATGGAAACAGTAAAATTCGATGAAATTTCATGAATATCGACTCAAATGAAATGCGTTCGGTCTCATCGGATTTTATCTTGATCGATATACGGCTAATGCGATAAAAGCTGATGGAAACGTTATTTGCCGAATAAATAATGAATTGCGATTAAGTTTTAGGCCCTTTTATGATTGCAACACGCCAGAAGAGTTCATTTCCGGCCAGTCTGTTTGCGCACACACATGGCGGATGTCAACAAAGACAGATGTAAGTGGACAAAGCAAAAAAATGCTTCAACCAAAGGGTTTCCGTGAATCAGGATCTCCAAGAACTGATGGAGCGTTGTCGTTCCCACATTACAGTCGCCTCCGCTGTCGTCGGGCATTTACGTTCATCGGCATCTTCATAGCAATGTTTATAGCGTCGTTGTTTTTTTTTTAGGTTAGTTTTGCATGTTTTTACGTGGCTTGGTTGAATTCTAATGTAGAATGTGGTCTGTTATTTATTTTGTGGTCTATATAATTTTGAGTGTAAAAGCGTAGGCAAGCTTTAGGACATACTACTTCGTCATTTTTAACGGACAGATCTGTCGCGTGCATCCTTTCACCGTAAACTGCCCTGTCAATCATCTCTTCACAGTTAAAAATCCTCCATTCAATCTAATTTAATTTCTTACCGTTTCGTAGAGAAATGTATAGCACGTTCATCTGCCAGTCTTGGGTCTTTTATGCAGAGACTCTCCTCGTGTTTGCAATAAGTTCACAATGCTGCAGTTGCAATATAATGTAGACAACTTTGAATAAAGACATTTTCGTCAGGTTAGATACTGATAATTAATCGCTCAAACCTCTTTATCTAAACCTCTCTCAAGGGGGTAATCCATCAGCTGGAAACTGAAGTCTCCCTTGGGTCCCTGAAGTCTCGCCATTGGCTAACAAGCCTTCACCTGCTGTTGGCATTCCATTGACTCCCATTCATTTTGGCGTCACTTTGACAGCGAATAACTTTACATTTGAGGCGTTTAAAGACTCCATTTGTCCATTGTTTATTTCTAAAGTAAAACGACAATGTATAAAAGGCTCCATTACCTTGTATCTTACGTTATTATTTTTGTAAAAATAGGGTATCGATTGCATCATAACACGCAACTCTCTGTCGCACAGTACAGAAATTACTGTAGTCAAGGGAGAAGCCCATAGAGAGTTGTAAAGCTGCTAGCTCATGGACAGCTAATGCTCACAATCTCCAGCTCTGCAAGATTCGAAAGGGAATGATTCCTCTTGGCACAGTTACTAGTTGATGTACAACTGTGAGATACATTGCTAATGTCACATCTATGTCATCAAGCTCATTGTGACCCTGTGCAGTGCGCTTTGCAATCACGAAGTGTTTGTTGTTATCCTCATAACGCGCGATGGGTTGTGGGCAATATCAGCCGTTAGCGCGTGCATCGATCTGCCCTTCGGATTCTGACCAGAAATAGTAGACCATCCGGGTCTCTTTGGATCACTCATTTCAACATACTACGATTTGGAACGTACTAATTCTATTTTCGAATACTATTTATAAGGTACACTATCAGATTTAAAACTTTGCAGAATGTTTTCATTCACTTAGAGCTATGTTCTTTCTTTCTTTCTTTCTTTCTTTCTTTCTTTCTTTCTTTCTTTCTTTCTTTCTGTCTTTCTTTCTTTCTTTCTGTCTTTCTTTCTTTCTTTCTGTTTCTTTCTTTCTGTCTTTCTTTCTGTCTTTCTTTCTTTCTTTCTTTCTGTCTTCTTTCTGTCTTTCTTTCTGTCTTTCTTTCTGTCTTTCTTTCTTTCTTTCTTTCTTTTTCTTTCTTTCTTTCTTTCTTTCTTTCTTTCTTTCTTTCTTTCTTTCTTTCTTTCTTTCGCATGAGAATCCATTTTATCCAAATATCTGCTTTAATCCTGGTAGTTTATACGTTTATTCATGAACATTTTCATTGTATTCACATATGAGGATTTTTCAATCCAAAGACAAAAGTGGATAAAAAGCCATGGAAAATGATAAATCCAAGTGCCCTTTTCTACTGTCCACTTTGTATCCTCTGTTGCGAAGATGAGACAGCAGAAAACATTCTTCTCCTGCTCCTTTTTGTGTGGTAAGCTCTTAATCATAATTATGGGGCTTTGGTGAAATCAGTTTTTGTGTTCTTTCAGTGGCCTGCAGACACAGCCAGAAATAAGAGTCCCAGTCTCTAAGTGGCTATTGATTTATTTTCAATGAGTTAGTGTTATACAAAGTCCTAGATGATGAGGACGAGGAGGAGGAGACCCAGGTGATGTTATTATCAGGTGCATCTAAACATTAAGATGAAGTTGGTGAACATGAGCCAAGTCCCCATCACTTAGAAACCATGGGAAGTAACAGGAGACTGCTGTAGCATCCCTATTCAACCGGCCTCTGAGATTCCCATCAGGATTTGAACAATGGGACCACAACAACTGGCCTGAATATTGGGCCTGCTGGTCTTATATTACCCAGCACTCAGTGAATGTGTAACATAATAGGGGTATGCATGTATGTTGGGATCTTTGCTGTGGTAATTCAGTTATGTTATTCACATTGAGAGCATCTTTAAGGTGTATGCGCAGCGAGTGATGCCATTTTTCCAGGGAATCTGATGGATATTGAAAAGGGGCAGTTGTGTAAACCGAAACCTCTTCACTTTATTAAGACCAGAGTAACCTATCAGTCTGATGCATGTTACAGAGGCTGAGCAGTCCTCAGATGGGCTGAGGAGAGGAACGGGTGCCATCGCACACTCATTAGACCCAGGAGCCGCTCTGTGGACCCTCTTGTTAAAGCCTTCACGCCTGGCCTGTTTATGTGGGTGGCGAAAAGATTTGCATTCTGCAGATCAAAAGATTTTCATATTCCTCTTAAAATGCAGTTTAGAGTCAGACACTCGAGGAAAAATTCATTTTTCTCTCTATAATGAGCAACGTCATGTGTGGACCAGAAATTCAACTTTGCAATTCATAATTGTAGCTGCCCACTAAAGTTAGTCATTTTTAAAAAGCGACTTTGGTTAATTAAATTAAATGTTGATCTTATCCATTAATCATTTCTAAAATCACATTAATTGAAAAAAAAAATAGTGTTCTAATATCTAATTGTCATTGTTCTATCAGAGCCATTTGTCATCTTTTGTAGTGCATCATCCTTATGAAAGTAAATTTGTGGACTAAACAAAGCAGAACGTCAATGATTCATGCTGCCGGGCCATTCTCTGCAAGTTCCCTGCGAGTTCCACTCCTCATTGGCTTCATTGTCGTATCTGCTTACAAGGCAAAGATAAAGTCAGAATGGGGTTTCTATTCCCTTAAGGGGGAAAAAAGTTCTAGGTTTATAGTTTTTTCTTGTCTTCTCGCCTTAAAAATGACATTTAAAGTCGCAATTACTTCAAAGACAGTCTAAAATCTGAACAATAAAAAGCTCTGGTTTGTAAACGTCCCAGAAGTTTACCTAATTCATTCCTTTGGATTAAGTAATTGTTCTAACATGCATCTAAGTAAATTTTCAGGCCAGTGTGTCTAGTTTCAGCAGGTGCATGCAGCACGGTGGGGCGGAGGAGGCGCCAAACAGGTTGGATGAGTACAGGTGAGCCAGGAAGCAGCTTATGCTAATTTATCAACATGAGAAGAAATCCTCCTTAGAGCCGCACTTGTGAGAGGGAGACAAAGCTACATGGGAACCTATTAGATAACCAATTCTCCTGTCAGCCGCCTCACAGGGGGAGAGTGAGCGAGCGATCGTGTGAGGGATAGAGAGTGTACCTGCAATGGTGGATACACAGGAATTCCATTCAAACCCAGCCTTGCAAGGTAAATGTTTATATTGCCAACACTCTTATTCTCCTCCATAATGAGCACAATGTTGGTTTTCTCACTTCCCTGTTTTGAATGGGTGCTTCGGCAGGTGCAACAGGCTCCCTAAGTTGCCTGTTAGACTCACTCAGAGAACCGTTTCCAGTAGTTTTGGCGAAGTAACCTCCTGGGTTTCCTTATGTGATGTATATGATGAGAGTACATGAATCAAGAGAGCAGTTGCATTTCAGTGTCTATTTTGCTGCAAAAGCATTGTAGGTGAATGTTGTTTGAGTAAGCTGAATTTGCACATAGTTTAACTTAAAACATGATGTGATCAGCTTATCATTTTGGGTTTAATGTGAAAAGCTAATATCTTTTTATTTGCTTAAAGGACAACTCCGGCGCAAAATGAACCTTACACATTGCTATCTAGTCAACCGTTATCTGAGATTTGTTTTCATGATTGCCGAATGTAAATAGTTTTATCTCTAAAAACAGTTTAGCCTATAGTATAACGCTTGTATATAGGGCATAGAGTAATGACAAATAAAAATCGCTTGTTATTACCTCTAACAAGGCTCAAAATAGCCCCACACCAACACGACAGCATAACAAGGGTCCCTACATTCAAACCGAAGCATTGAGAACTTTGTCAGTGTCCATACAGTTTAATAAGAAAATATTTTATACACGCAGTCAACTTCGCGAATACAGGAAGAAGCCATCTTTGAAAAATAGTCTCTACCAGTCGATCTACGAACGCCGATCCAAGTGCGCTGAACTGTGCAGAATCTCATATGGTCCGTTGTTTCCAGAAGAAACACAAAGACAAACCGTTTACTTGTCTTCAATATGTACACGTAGCCTACTGTTCACGCTCACCTTATCACCTTATTCACATCTCACCAGCGCACTTGGATCAGCGTTCGTAGATCGACTGGTAGAGACTATTTTTCAAAGATGGCTTCTTCCTGTATTCGCGAAGTTGACTGTGTGTATAAAATATCTTCTTATTAAACTGTATGGACACTGACAAAGTTCTCAATGCTTCTGTTTGAATGTAGGGACCCTTGTTATGCTGTCGTGTTACTGTGGGGCTATTTTGAGCCTTTTTAGTGGTAATAACAAGCGATTTTTATTGGTCATTACTCTATGCCCTATATACTAGCATTATACTAGCGTTATAGGCTAAACTGTTTTTAGAGATAAAACTATTTACATTCGGCAATCATGAAAACAAATCTCAGATAACGGTTGACTAGGGAACAATGTGTAATTTGACTAAAGGTTCATTTTGCGCCGGAGTTGTCCTTTAATGTCTCCATAAGGGCTTTGTCAATACAAACCTCATGCTCAATATTTTCTATCTATCTATTCATACATAATTTACATAGTGTAAATCTGATGCAGAAATGTGTTGGTTCTGAATTGTCTCTCTCTCTCTCTCTCTCTCTGAACTGTATATTTTTATATTTCAAGCCCTATTAGCAGGGGTGCGTTTTGGTATGCGAGTTTGTGTAATACCACAGTATTATGTAGCCTACGTGCACTTCAATATTTATCACACCTTTGTGTGTGTCCAAGTGTGATCACTCAGACATGTGTAGGCATGCAGATGTCTGTATGTGCAGAGAATGTTAACATTCCTGTGTCAGTGACAGTGAAATTAGTAATATATACAGTTCAAAAGACAGGTTTGTAATGTTGGGTTATTATTATTATTATTATTATTATTATCTTTTAAACAAAATTAATTGCGAACCAGTTATGTGCACTCCTAGGCATACAAGACTTCTTTCAAAAGCATACAAAGTTCTTACCAATCCCAAGCTTTTGAATGGTAATGATTGTTGATTGTTGCAATTTTTCATTCCCTGAGCTCATTTTTATTGACCGGCAATGGAGAAAGATGCTTTTTGTCAGCATAATGGTAGTTACAGTATCTAGCAGAGGGTAATTTCTAATGCTAAACAGCCAAACTCTGAATCCATTCTATGGTACAGTATGCCATTTTTTTTTATTACCTCTCTCCAACCAGGTATATCATTAATTCAGGCCTTTTAATCTCAGAGGTGGACAAAAGTGGAAATGTGTGTGCGTGTTTTTTGCTTTGCTTTTTATAGGTCATGTCACCTTGTCCATACTTGTTATGTTGATGAAACACTCTCCTCTTCATGTTTAGCCCTTAAGGTCAATGGTCAAAAGGTGTACACCTGATCGGTTTTAGCAATCATATTAATTTCCTGTGTAACTGTATCCCAAAGAAGAGGGATACGTAAGGGATTACTTCTCAGATCTGAATAATCTGTGTATCTATATTTAGTACCCTGTTTTGTTTGTTGTGTCGAAGATAAGGAACAGACACACAGCTGGTGGTGGGGAAGCAATGACACATCCTTGCCCTTGCCTTCTACATGCTGACACGCTGCTAAAAAGACCACACCATCCAACCACACACATCACCCCCCTTTTGTTCACCCCTTCCTTTTGAAACTTGATCTTTTGAATTTCAAAGGCAGAGAGGAAACCAATGCTCCATCCTGGTATCTATACTCTTGTGGGACGTCCTTTGTTATCTGTCCTCAGAATGGTTGTTCATTGGCCATTGATAAGCACACCTCAGAACACCTTTGGTTTACACAGGGGTACATAAATATACCTTATTTCTTCTGCATGCGTTTCAACTCAGTCAGCACATGGAACAAAAAGGTTGGACGTCTACGTCGTGGTACAGTAGGTGCAACATGGTGACCTTCTTAGTTCCTCAAAAAAGATTCTAGGCTTTCTTATTTTAAGCACAGAGAGATTGAGAGTCATTGTTTGAATGGAGGTATTTTCCTGTTTTATTAAATTAAAACAAGTTGCATTTAATTACACTTAGATTGGGATTAGATGTGTAAGAAATGAGTCCTACACACAAAAGCAATTTAAGGCTAAAAAACGGTCATTATCTGAACATTGTTTTCAGGTGTGGTAACCGTAGTAGAATAATTGAATTATACGCTTTGGATCGTGGCCTCGGGCATTACCACCTCGGGTGTGCATTATTATTTTTAATAATTCAACAGCCCATCGACAATTATTCCTCACTTAATGCAACTTTCAAAACACTTAGAAGCATTCTTTTATGTTTAGTGCACTTAACTCATTTATACAATACAGTACATATTGTACACAAAACTGTTCTCCGCTTTATTTTGGGATCTGATGTGTGTTCAGCCCAGTATTTGTTCTGTCTGGTTCTGCTCAGTGTGTCCATCTCTGTTAGAGATCATTTTTAGAGTTGTGCATTATCACCACAATAAGCCACCAAAACAACCTGACTCAATTCACACCGTGTCACCTCACATTTCCTGCTCCACTCTCCTCCGGAGAATCAAACAGGGAGAAACATTCTGTTCCGACCGGTTGTACTTGGGACAGGGCTGGCAGGACAAATGAGATGGTCTCTACTATTTCAATAGAGCAACTGTAAATGGTTATTTGTTACATTTACAGTTATGCTCTTAACGTGAATCTCCTGCATGACACTTCAAAACTGTCGTCTTGAGTGCCTGATTTATTCATGATATTCCTTCAACCGTCGGAAAGAAAAATAATGTACCTCTCCGCAACTTTTTTTTTGTTGCAGATGAAAAACTCTCCATGGGTTTGTAGCGAATTTGTCAGGTTTGTAATGGATTTTGAAGGCAGAAAAAGTTACCATGAGACGCAGAGGCAAAAAGCAAACAATCTTTCAGCCGTGCGAGTGTGAGGAACATCTTCCTCATCTATAAAAGAAAAGTTCAACTGCTTTTAGCTGTGCTCTTCCTATTTTTTGCAACCCTGTGCACAATACAACGATTTAAATGGATATGAATGGAAAGAGTGCTTCAATTGGAGTAATCCGCTCAAACCTAGTCTGTGTTCATAGAACCTACCTGCGTTATAGTCTGAAGCACGAAGGTCATTTTCCTCTTATGGATGTCAGCGAGGAGCACAAAGATATTTTAATGAATGGTCATTTAAATGCCTGAGCTAACCCATTTAGAGGAAGCCAATGAACGATTTGGCTCTGCTCAATTTGTCAGCTAAATACATGTAACTGAGAGCATTTCACAAAAAAAAATCTCTAAATGTTTTGACTGTTATAGAATGTACATTTATTTACATTTACATTTTATATTTATTAATTTAGCTGACACTTTTATCCAAAGCGACTTGCTGTATATGTCAGAGGTTGCACGCGTCTGGAGCGTCTTGCTCAGGGACACATTGGTGTCTCAGAGTGGATTCGAACCTGGGTCTCTCACACCAAAGGCATGTGTCTTATCCGTGTCTTATTATTTTCACTCAGTGTGACCCTGTTCATCCTCAAGCATCAAACAGGTTATGACTCAAGTGTGCAACTGACCCTCCAATGGTTCAGGATGTGCTACAGCTACCCTTTAGTAGTGCTGGGCGGTATACCGGTTCATACCAAAAACCGGTGTATATTTTTGTTATGATGTTAATTTTTAATATACCGCCATACCGATGTATTTAATTACACAACGTTCGGCACGAACGTCACGCTGCACCACTGACGCTGTTTCATGCAAACCCTTTACAATTGCACTTTTAAGCGGCGAGGGTAAGCCAAACAGCAGTGCCCTGGTGTTACGTTACATGGAAGGTGGATGCTGCACAACTATTTCGTTATTTTCCTGTCAAATGTCGAGAATGCACTATTGTAGCGCGGTCACGCATGCACTCTCAGATACACGCTGCTCTTGTAAGAATAGGTCTATTTTTTCTGGGCTCGCTCTGAGAATCCTGCACTTAAAATTTGTAGGAACATTCAAAACGTCCAGTTTTTTAGATGTTGTATTAACGTTCTTGCTTGGTTATAAGAATGTTATTATAACGTTAAGAAATAACACTTGTAGGTTATACTGGACGCTATGCTATTCTACACTACTAACATTTGATAGAGATTACTCGAATGTACTGACAATATTTGACAAAATAACTGAGTAAACAGAGGAAATAGGGCC